TCTGTAAAAAAGAACTTGGCTTTGAAGCAAAAAGAGGAAGGTTGATGAATTCATAAGTGTCAGGGCAACTTGTCTTTTCCAGAAACAGTTTTAGATGAACAGAACTCTGGATACTAAAATAGATGTGTTTCTGACATCATGGGAATTGGGAAGCATGGCAACCTAACTTGCTTGCCTAAATTTTGAAAAACAAATGAGAACTAATACAGCTTGTCATTACCTAGAATGTCTTCCTTATGCAAGACCATATGTAAAATAATTTTCACATTACATGGAACTGATGAGTAGCTCATTATCTGGAGATAAGGGAGAAGCTGGTTTGGTTGTTTAAGAGTTACCCTTAATTTTACCTTTTGAACTCTCAGGTTCTTATAATATTCAGTTTTATTTAGCATGTGAATTCTTCTACCATATCTAATAACACTAGATTAGAGAAAGAGCCCGGGACCAGCAGATGGCATAATGGCTATGTCGCTGGACTCCCATGTAGTTGACCACAGTTTGAGTACCAGAGACCCGGTGGCTTAAACTCATGCTGGGCGCATATGCGTATGTGCCCAAGATCCAGAGAGGAGAATGGAGGGGAAGGGATTGTTGCATGGCCATCCCCCCTGGGGGGTGATTTCTCACTTTCTGACTCTCTGTCTCTCTCTGTCTTTCTAGCAAGCATATGTGCCCTATAGAAAAAAGCTCTCGGAAAAAAAAAAAGAAAGAAAGAAAGAAAGAAGAAAGAAAGAGAAAGAAAGAAAGAAAGAAAGATGTGCCCTATAGAAAAAGAAAGAAAGAAAGAAAGAAAGAAAGAAAGAAAGAAAGAAAGGAAGGAAGAAAGAAGGAAAGAAGGAAAGAAAGGAAGGAAGAAAGAAGGAGGGAGAGAAAGAGCCCCATAGGACCTACTTATCAACCTAGAACAAGAGTTTATTTATTTACATTTAATTACTATATATCTTTATGGTGTACAACATTGCTTTACCCAACATAAATATGGTGCATATCTGTCAAGACAAAGACTACCATACCATATACATTATCATCAGCAAATAACTTTTTAAAGAATAATTTTATTTAACTTTATTTATTTATTTATTTATTTATTTTTAATTTGACCAGAGAGGGACAGGGAGAGAGAGAGTGTGAGAAAGCAAGCCGCAAGCCTCCAGGTCTGAAACTTGAACCCCGGTTGGCCATGTGGGAGTCCATTGCTCTTAACCACCATGCCATCTGCTGGCCCCATGCAAATAACTTTTTAAGAGTTCATTTTTTTTATTGTCGGAGTGTATATGCACTTGCCAGAGAAGGAGAAAGGGCTGGGAAGGGAGAAAGAAAGAGAAAGAAAGAGAGAAGGAGATGGTCACACTGCAATTCTATCTCCTCCATTACTCCAGACTGTCAGGATTTTAGGCATGCACAGATACTCAGCATGTTTTCTTAAGCTTCTAGGACCAGGATTCAAACCACTGTCACTCTTATTCAAACCCACTCTCTTAACCACAGGCTACCGGTTCAACCCAAAGGTAAATTCTAAAATGAGCAATGAAGTGTTTATAAATCACTCGATAATAAGTAAACCAGTCCAGAATGAAAGTAAAAGAGCTATCACATTAATTAAGAGAAGGCTTATCCTCATATCCCTGAATGTTAAATGAAGAGCCCAGAATTTACCCTCTGTTCATATTTTCATTAGCAGTGAAAAAGAGAATATTTCCTAGATTGGCCTTAAGTAAACCCAAATAAGGACCCAACTAAGTATAACCATTAATTTTATTAATCTGAAGGAGCTGCTGATCTTTACTACAGGCATAATGTGTTGTAGTAAAACACAGGCACCTAGGGGATGATCTATCAAGGGTTAGGGTAGAGGGTAACTGGATTATGAAAAATAAGGAGACTTTGTTCAATAATTCATTAACTTGTTTATCCATTGATTATACTTGCAAATAAAATAAACAAAAACTGAGACAAATAAACTAAAAGTGGAAGGCAATAACCATAAATCATCAAAAGGAATTGAATGGAGTTTCTGAAGAAATGTGACTTAAGTTATTGAACAGAAAATCCAAAAATAAGAGGCAAATGAAACAAATAAAGAGCCAGAAGTTGAAGCAGTGGTAGAACAGGATATCCTGGGAGATGGCCCATATGATAGGATTTCAGGTATTATTTACCCACAATAAAGTGAAGAGTCTAATATCTCCTACATTGAACACAAGAAATATTTAACCATTGATAAATTGGTAAATGTATGGAACATGCCACTGAACATTAAAGAAGGATACATTTATTTATGTCTCCCTTTCAAGTTTTCAGTTGGTGTCCATGGAATACCTAACAGCAGGGAGAGAACTTCAGAGTCTTGGCCCTGCAGCTGTGGCTCTCTCAGCTAAGGAAGATGACAATGCTCAATAATTTACAGGGAGGCACATTCAAGAAAGGACCCAGGACAAGTGCATAAGAGGAAAAACAAGATGCTTAGGGTTCTTTGAAAATTGTGGCAAATGTTGAGCAAATAGTGTGAAGAAATAATTGTTGGAAGGAAATTGGGAGCCTGAATTGCAAGCCCAACAACTGACCCAGTCTGATACTCGCCTAAAAAGACACAGATGGGATCCAAACATTTCAGTGCTCTCTGAGACCTTGTGAGAATCAATTGCCACTTCATTTACCAACATTTTCCTAGCACCTATTTTCATTTTTGGCCTGGAACTTAATAATTACTGCAACTAAATAAAAAGACATTTTCTCTGGGAATAGCAGATGGCATAGTGATTATGTCTCTGCAATCCCACATGGCCGACCACAGTTCAAGTCCCATACCCAGTGACTTGAAACTCACGTGGGTGCCTATACATGCAAACCCGAGATCCAGAGAGGAGAATGGAGGAAAAAGAATTACAAAGTGGCCATCCTCCCTGGGGGATAATTTCTCACTTTACCTCTCATTGTCTCGAATATCTGTCTGTCTCTCTCTCTCCCTGGAAAGCACATGTGCCCTAGGCAAAAACCTTTGAAAAAAAAAATTTAAAACACATTGTCTCAGTATTTTTGTGCTTAAACTCCATGAGGCACAATAAAATCCAACTCAAGTTTTAATAGCTGATTTGTGGGCTTGAGAAATTCTCTCCTTTCATGTTACCTAAAATATTTTCTTTCTTTATCAGACAATTTTGATTGTGGCACTTTGTTTAGTAATTAATGGGAAAGCTCTTAGAATAATGGAAGAATTATAAGGACCACAATAACACAAAGATGATGATAAGGACAATGGCAATAAGAACATATTGTGTGCTCTATATTTCATAGGATACTAAGAAAGAGTATTTATTGTGGCATTATTCACAGTTGCTAAGACATGGAACCAACCCAAATGTCTACAAACAGATAAATGAATTGAAAAAGTGTGGCACATATACACTACAGAATACTACTCAGTCATAAAAAATATATATATATTAAAAAAAAAATAGTGAGACCCTGGTATTTGATAGAAAGTAGACAAATATGGAAGATTTATTACCAAGTGAAGCAACCCAGACTATGAAAGAGAGGTAGCATATGTACCCACTCAATATGTACCAAATGTCTGCACTCTGTGGCAGAAACTGAAAGGTTTGAAGGTTTAAAGACCTGGAGAGCAACTGTAGGTACTAGACGTATTGTGGGAAATGAGGGAGGGTAAGATAAAGAGAATCAAAGGGAAAAGAAAGAAGCAAAACATTTAAGGGACTCCAAAGTGGAAAATTATCTGTTGATAATTTTATGTATGTTAAGTGTCGGCGTCCGCCCCCAGGCTTAGCGCTATTATGGAAGAAGCAGAAAAAATGAGACAAAAAGATAGAGTAGAAGTGGACACAGGCAGCCTGAGCCTAGGTAGCCCAAGCAACCTGTGCCGCCCAGACAAACTGGACGTCTTTATTTATAGTACAAGAAAACATTACACATGTGTGTTTCATGATACTTCATGGATTGGTTGCCAGGTTACAGACAATAAGAAGCCATTAACAAATCTATAAGAGATTAGTCATACCCGGGGCAAGGTGTATCCCCTGGTGGTAATCCCATCTAGAGTAAATCTCATCTTCCTTTCTAATGCAGAGAACTAGCTGTTAGGTGTGTCTGTTGGAACGCCCCTAGTAATTTCTACCCTTGCTCTGTCTGCAGCCAAGGTCAGGGAAAGACAAGTTACAAGGTTCTGCCAAACCCCAAAAGAGCATGTGGTGTTTGCTCAGCACATGTCCCCACACCTCAGACTCTCTCTCTTAAACGTGTCCCCACAGTTAAGATCTTTGGCTGAACCAATATACAATGTATTCATAATGAAAAAATTCATTTGGTATGCTGTAATGGTACACAATGATAAGATATAAAGATTAAATTTTAAAAAGAGCTCTTAATTTATAAAGACAGTATATGGTAAAGTAAAAATTGTATGTAAAGTTAAATTAGAAACAAGTTTAAATCTGCCTCAGACATTAATGTTCTACTAATTAAGGAGCAGTTTAAAAGAAATCCTTATGAGACCAGCAGTTAGTGTAATGGCTATGTCGCTGTACTCCCATGTAGTCGACCATAGCTCAAGTCCTGGACCCAGTGGCTTAAAACTCACACCGGCCGCGTGTGCGTGTGTGCCCAAGATCCCGAGAGGAGAATAGAGGAGAAGGGATTGCAGTATGGCCATCCCCCCTGGGGGTGATTTCTCGCTTTCTGTCTCTCTATCTCTCTCTGTCTGTCTGGCGAGCGCACGCACCCTATAGCAAAATCCTCTCCAAAAAAAAAAAAAAGAAAGAAATCCTTATAACCTTGTTTTGAGGACATGTTACTTAATATATGCAATTTTAGGAAGAGTTAATAATATACAGTGAAGACTGGGAACTTGGGAAAAAATTGTTGAAAAGACTAGAGTATAAATAAATCTCTTCTTAATGGCAGGTCTCCTGTCAGTATATTTCAACCTATCCAGATTGAAGAGGTCACATCTACCTGGAGCCCAAAGCTGCCTCCTGAGTATGCTCCCTCCCCAGGCCTACAACATCTCTTTCTTCCAGCCACCTGCTTTTCTTCTGACTGGCATCCCAGGGCACAAGGCCGCTCATGGCTGGATCTCCATCCCCTTCTCCTCCATATACACTGTGGCCCTCACTGGAAACTGTCTAATCCTCCTGGCTATCAGGAGGACCCCCAGCCTGCACCAGCCCATGTACTACTTCCTGTCCATGCTGGCCTTCACTGATGTGGGCCTCACCTTGTCCACACTGCCCACCACCCTGGGTGTTTTCTGGTTTGACCATCAGTTCATTGGCTTCAATTCCTGCCTGGCCCAGATGTTCTTCCTGCACACCTTCTCTGTAGTCGAGTCCTCGGTGCTCCTGGCCATGTCATTTGACCGCTTTTTGGCCATCTCCAATCCACTGCGCTATGCAGCCATCCTCACAAATAATGTCATCATCAGGATTGGACTGGCCATAGTGACTCGAGCCACTGTGTCCCTCTTCCCTGTGCCAGTCTTGCTGAAGCGACTGAACTTTTGCCCAGACCAGACCCTCTTGTCCCACTCCTTCTGTTTTCACCCTGATGTGATGAGGCGGGCCTGTGATGACATCACCATAAACATCCTCTATGGGCTCTATGTAGTACTGTCTACAGGGGGCATAGACTCCCTGCTCATCGTTCTGTCCTATACCCTCATCCTGCACACAGTCCTTGGCCTGGCTTCTCCCAGGGAGCGTGTCCGGGCTCTCAATACCTGTGTGTCTCATATCTTAGCTGTCCTGGTTTTCTACATCCCAGCCATAGGTGTGTCCATTATCTATCGTTTTGAGAAACACCTACCTTCCATTGTACATGCTCTGGTAGCCTATGTATATCTGGTGGTGCCTCCTGTGCTCAACCCCATCATCTACAGTGTCAAATCAAAACCCATCAGAGAGGCCATGCTCAGACAGCTAAGAAGGAAGGGGGCAAGGTGCATAAAGTAAAAAACTGACCATAGTATCTAGGGTAAAAACATGGCCAAATAATTACATCTTATGTTTTCAGAGGTCTTTTCCAGAGCTCTGACCCAGATCCATGATCCACAGTGTGATGAGATAATAGATACTCTAATATCTCCGGGTGAAGAACAGTCTTGACATTCCTGCATTCACTACCATTGGATTATTATTCAGTGTTTACTTACAAAAAAATCTGTGCTTATCAATGGAAAAAAATAAGTTGAACGATATTAGTTTCTTCTATCATTAAATGACAGAGTCCTGTAAATATGTCATTATATTAAGATATATAATGAGACTGTGACAGGCATACACCATAGAAACTCAGAAGAGAGTTTAGTGGCCCAACCAAAGGAAATAAGACATCATCCATTTTAGATGGAGGCCCAAAGGTGAATAGACATTTGTCAACCAAGAAAAGATATACCTAATAAAGCAAATAACAATGTAAAAAAAAATTAAAACTAAAGTTTGGGATAATTTGATGTGTTTGTGGAAAAGTAAGCAGCCAGACATGGCTCCACGTAATCTGTACATGTCTGTGTTGGAGGGAGAAATCATAGAAGTGAGCTAGATGATAGCCATGAAGAGATTTTAGGGAACCTTTTAGACCTGACTGAAACATTTGACCATCAGTCTTCATTTCAAAGTCAATCATGGGGGACCAGCAGATGGTGTAATGGTTACATGATTAGACTTCCATGTAGTCAACCACAGTTCAAGTCCCAGACCCGTGGCTTAAAACTTGCACCAGGCATGTGTGCATGCATGCCCAAGATCCCGAGAGAAGAATGATGGAGAAAGGATTGCAACATGGCCATCCCCCCAGGGGGTGATTTCTCACTTTTTGTCTCTCTGTCTCTCTCTGTTTCTCCAGTGAGCACACATGCCCTATAGAAAAATCTCTCTTTAAAAAAAAAAAAAAGTCAGCTATGGAAGTGTACCACATTGTGGAGGATGCACAGACTTAATTTATAAATTAAAATGGTGAAAGTGAGGAGATGTAAAGCAAAGAAACCAATTAGAAAGTTATTGTAACAGTTTTGGGAAAAAAATTCTAGAGTTACATCAGTGTCAACAATAATGGAGGGGAAGGGTGTATTTTTTTAAATTATTTATGAATTTTCCATCTCCGTGTACTGAAAGTGCCCAAGAACAATGGCAGTGGCACCAGCAAACAGAGCTAGCACTCTCCTACTGCTGTCTAAGTGCCATTCTTCACTGCAAGCAACCTAAGATCCTGGAGGAGATAGTTAAGTCAGAGACAGGAGCGTGGAAAACACAAGATGTTAGTGAAATAGATTGTACCTGAAACTATTAAGAACATGAAGAGAGTGAAGTCATGTACCAAAAACTAAAAATGCACAGAACCCATTTGAAAGGGTTACCAGTAGCCAAATGTATAGTGAAAACTGAAATATTAAAAATTATTAGGCTGGGATCAGTAGATGGCATAATGGTTACATCACAGACCTCTTATGAAGTTAACTGTGGATCAAGTCCCAGACCCGGTGGCTTAAAACTCATGCTGGGTGCGAGTGGGTGCATGCCCAAGATCTAGAGAGGAGAAGGGATTGCACCGTGGCCATCAGCACTGGGGGATAATCTCTCACTTTCTGTCTTCCTGTCTCTCTCTGTCTCTCTGACAAAAATCTTTAGCAAAAAAAGAAAAAACAATTATTGGACCAGGGGCAGCAGAGGCATGGTGGGTAAGGTGCTAGATTCTCACATGGTCAGCCACAATTTGAATCCCAGACTAGGCAGCTTGAAAATCATGCCAGATGTATGTGCATGCATGCCCAAAATCCTGAGAGGAAACTGGAGGAGATGGGATTATGGCATGGCATTCCCACTCCCAGTGGAAAGCAATGATTTCTCACTTTCTCTCTCTCGGTCACTCTCTGGTGAGTGCACGCATCCTACAGCAAAAACCTAAAGCAAAAATTATTGGGTCAGCTGGTGGCATGGTGGTTAACGCAGCTGCATCCCACATGGCCATCTGAACACTTTGAGTCCTAGAATCAGCAGCTTGAGAAACACATGTGTGCATGTGTATACAGGCAAAAACCTGAAAAGACAAAAAGATAGAGAAGGGATTGCAGCATAATCATTTCCCATGGGGAAGTACTTTCTCTTCTTTCTCTCTCTTTTTCTCTCTCTTTCTCTAACAAGGACATCTATCGTCTGGCAAAACTTCTAAAAATTATTAATAAATTTTGACAACAATGAATAATAACTAATTGATTATTTCCTAAAAAAGAAGTCCATAAAGATACTCAAAACATTGGGGGAAAAAATAAGTTAAATTCCTCTTTTTTTAAAAAAAAATTACTCCTTTATTTTTATTTTTTATACTTTTTTTATTTATTTTAATTTCATTTTCTTCCATACATTCAATCACATTATTATTTGTCTTACAAAAAGGATATTTCAACAGGTGAACATTTCTCCCTGGTACTGTTGATAAAACTACAAAATATCTTCAACAGATAATATGACACCTCTTTGTGCCATTAATGTTTTGCCTTCCTGCCCCTCCCGCAAATGTCCTTTCTCAAACCCTCCTCTTTCATACACACTATATTCCTCTTAAAGAGGAATGTATCAAGTGCAAAAGCATGGATAAATTTATAAAACTAAGTGCGTGGCAACTAAGTAATAGCATAATAATCAGTAAGTATTCATAGGTTTGGTTAAGAAATCAAATGTTCACACTAAAATATTACTGCACACCTTACTTACTAAATAGAAAAGGGTAAATATCCCAATCATTAAAGATTAATGATTGCTACCTTAAGTGAATGAGCAAACTCTCATTCATCGATGCTTAACCTATAAGATAATTTGGCTTTGTAACTTCTGATATGAACAATAAGAATACAACATTATGGGAGCTAGTGGGTAGCGTGGTGGTTAAGGTGCTGGATATTACCACATGGCCAGCCATGGTTCGAATCCTGGACCTGATGGCTTGCTTCCTCTCTCTCTCTCTCTCTCTCTCTCTTGCTTTCTCTCTGTCTCTGTGTTTCTCTGTGGTCAAATTTTAAAAAGAAAGAAAAGGAAAGAAAAAGTGAATAAATAAAAATTTTTTAAAAGAATGCAACATTACATATGTAGAAATCTTACCAAAATTGTTTAACCTCAACCTAGCCATGAGGACATAATCAGAAAAATACAGGATATATATACACACATAGACACATAGACACATATATAGACATATAAACACAAACTGACCTAGAATCTTTTTTAAAATGCAATATTATAATTGTCAAGGACAATAGTAATGAGTAAATAGAAATTATCTAATAAATAAAAATCAATTTAAAATAATTTCATTGTAATATCTCAAATAATGTATGGAATATTTACCTAAATTAAAATAGATTAATGGGACACAACAAACAATTAAACAGTAATTTTAGGAAAATCATGAAAATTTTAATATCTATTATACACCAATTATAGTAATAGGTTAATGTACTATGGGTTAGTTTGAAATGATACTGTGAATATAGAAACACAGTAAATGGTTGTGAATACCAGCTATAGTGTGGGAAGAGAGTGGGTGAAAGAGTAGTCAAAAGGAGGATATTTAGAAGAAAAAATAGAGAGGCAAAGCATTAATGGGACAAACAAATGGGGTATTATTTGTTGAAGATAACTTTATAGTATTATCAACTGGACTAGGGAAAAATGTACACATGTTGGAATATTCACTTTGTAAGCTGAATAACATGACTGAATGTATAAAGAACTTGAAATAAAAAATTAATTAAATAAATAAATGATATTGTGATTATGGGAAAGAATCTATTTTTATAAAGTACATGCTTAATATTTTTTAAAAAACACTATGGTGTATACAATTTACTTTCAACCAGTTGGCAAAAAAAATCTGTATGTGTGAATATGTATATATACAAGTGTATGTATGTGTATGTGTGTATATGTAGAAGGAAGTGGAATAGAAACCTAGAAAACTACACAGAATCTTCTCAGCTTACAAAATGAGAACTTAAGTGTTCATTCAAGTAGTCTTCCAACTTTTCCATACCCTTGAGTTCATACAACCTATACAGTGTGAGTAGGGAAAAACACATATACACACAAAAATATAGATATTGTATGTGTGAGCATTTATGTTAGTATGTGTATATATGTATGTATTATACCTACTTAAATACTTCAATGGATATATACAAATATAATCATACCCAGGATCCTTTTATACTTCAAGAGATATAAGAGAATTGCTCAGACAATTACTGAATGCTGAGGGAGATCCCAAGATTGAGCATGGGTCCCAAGCTGAGCTATTGCTTTCAAGAATAAAAAATTAGAATACAGGCAAAGCAATTACAATTCTTCTTGGCTAGGTGTGATTTCCACTAAGTGTGGAAATGGGACTTTACCCACCCACTCATACCCTAAGTCAAGTCAGGGTTTTAACTATGATCCCTGCATACCTTTGGCTTCTCCTAGTGACAGTGCCTAACACATCTAGTGTTACAAATAATTGCATAGGATACTGGGAAATCTTTGAGGCCAGAGATCATAAACTATATTTTAGTTATTTCTGTATCTTCAGTACTTAACTTGAATATGTAAAAGCTTACCACTCAATGAATAAAGTTTTAATGAAGAATGAAGACAGGAAAAGAATGAATCATAAGGCCAATGGATCTTGTGAGAAATGACACCTTCTCAGTAAAGGTTTACAACTCTTCCCCCAGGTTGCCTCTAGATGTAGGCAGAGTGATGGACCCATAATCACACAGCCATCGGGAGCAAACCTAACAGCTTCCCTTACTGCTATAGCACTTCCCTATGTTCTCCATTCTATCTACAAGACCCTCGTCTTCCAGGAGGAAATGAAAGGCTCTGCCCTCAGTGTCCTGTTACTTCAACTTCTTTGTTCTACTCCCTTTGTAGCTTATACTCACTTGCATTAAAGCACTTATTACACGCTGAGAATATACTGTGTACTGACCTACTGTCTGGTTCCACAAGGGCAGCACTAAAATCCAATTCACATTGATGCCTTATTACTCTGCAGGAGTATTCTCCCAGAGGAAGTTGCACAAATATTACTTAGATAAACTTATTATAAATACTCTGAAGTATACTCATTCATTTATTAACAACTTCCAAAGTGTATGCCACATTTTGAGTGATTTCCTGTGAGGGTCTATATTACAAGTTATATCCCTTCACCACTGTGCACAAATACATATTATAGGTTATACTCCTTCACCTTGATCTAAAGTGGCACAGTGTATCTATGATAGAAAATTCATGTTGAATGCTGTATTTATATACAGTGAATAATGGAGAAGTAAGATATTTGTGTTACGCAGATATGGTATTTTGCCTTTTGGTGATGTTGTGTATAGTAGTTTCAACTCGTCTTTTGTGTGGCATATATCATGTTGGGTAAAACCTCTTCATAAACTAAATGATGTATAATGACTGAATGTATAAATAATAATAAATAATACTGATAAAAATAAAATAATTTAATACACTAAAAAAGGAAAATAAATAAAGTGGCACTTCATTGCACTCATTGCACAGAAATGGACATCCACTATTGCTTGTGTATAATTGCAGAATTTATGGCATTTAATTATACACTACTATTTTCTGCCAGTCCTCTTAGATTACAGACACTTTTAATCCATAGTCATCCCAAAGAGGCAACCCAGATAGCCATTTTATTCACTGGCACATTGAAATACTACCCAGAGGCCAATGTTTGGAAACATAAATGTTCACTTAAGATGCTTCTGGAATTTTAGCCCTTAGGGCCTCTTCACGTTTTCAATATAATTCACACTTTCAAAATAAAAGAGGTGCCTAAAGAAAGAGCAAGACAGCAAGGACAAACTCCTAGATTGAAAGACACTGTGTATCTTCAAGGACAGAAAAACAGAAACATGGAAGAACTCCCAAGAGACACTCTTGTTTTCCAATCTTAGGGCCCTTTATTCCCCATCTATCTCCTCAGGTTACTCCACACATATTGCATTGGACAGAATAAAGATTTTGCAATGTCCATGAGGAAGAGACATCGGAAGTGCAGTTGCTTACCCTGAGTGAATAACCCTAGGGGACGAGGAGATAGTGGAGGAAATAGACACCATTGACCCCAAGACTCTGAAAGGCAGTCACTTGAAGAGGTAGAAAGTGTTCTATGTGACTTCAAATGGCAGAGCTGCTATCAAGGAGGAGTGCAGGACAGGAAGAGTTTGAGGTGCATAGTAGAATATTGAGTAGATATGGTAGAATGATTGTGTTTCCCAGAACCAAACAGATGATGTTTCTATACTACTCCTCCTCTCCACAGCTCAGATGCTCAAATAACTCATTCACCTTTTAATTATCCGTCCTATCACAAATACTCCCACACATGTCACATTTTTCAGAAGAAAGGAAAAAATATCTGTGTAGGGTATCAACCCAGTGGCCTGTGCCCTGGGCATCCCTGGGGAGCAGCATTTCACTAAGGCATTCAGCCATGATATAAAGACAGTACCTCAACTGAAGAGACTTCCTGGCCTCTTCAGGATGTGGAGAGGTTGGAAAGGCTGTGACAACAGGGTGAATAACTGGAGTCTGGATATAATCCCTTCTATACAAACTACAAGTTTGGAGGATCTGATCAGTGAGTCTGAGAAGCTCTCTCTGGAGCTGCTTAAGAATGTAAAAGCCAGCAGGCTAGAGGGTAAGCAGGTATCAAGAGCAAGAGGGAAAGTAGGAAACCTAGGCTTTCATAGATAGCATGTCTCTGCTTCTATATAAGGGAAAAAAGGTAGTAACCTTATTTTCCTGAAGTGTAGATATTGTGCACTTCAGATATTTATTCAGAAACTCAGACTCTGTGATCAAGCAGATTAATATCCATTGGTTTCTGTAAGTAGGGCAACAATACGATTGTGTCTAATGATCTCATCTCGGGTAGCACCTGCTGTGACCTGAATTTTTACTTGGTATCTTGCCTTTCCCTAGGAGATTGCCCTTATTCTTCTGGGTGTAAAGACTCTGTAAGAAAGGACTTCGCTTTGAGGTAAAGGAAGCTTGATGATTTTATCCATCTGTGTCAGGGCAGCTTGTCTTTCCCAGACACAGTTTCAGATGGACAGAACTCTGGGTGTTAAAACAGATGTGTTTCTGACATCATGGAAATTGGGAAGCATGGCAATCTAACTTTCCCATTCAAAGGGACATTTTGCAAAGGAATGGAAACTAAAACAGCTTGTCATTATCCTCACACCAGGCCTTACATAAAATTTTAATGTTCACAATACATGAAACTGATGGACAGCTTATTATCTTGAGATAAGGGAATATTGGTTTGATCATTTAAAAACTACCCTTAATTTTTGGTAATTTATCTTTAAAGGTGTCCTATGATTTTACCTTTTGCATTCTCATCTTCTTGTAATATTCAGTTTTAACATGTGGATTCTTCTACCATATATAAGAACAGTAGATTAGAAAAATACTCCCATAGAATCTACTTATCAACCTAAAACAAGAGTTTACTTTTTATTATCAGAGTTCATGTACACTTGCCAGAGAAAGAGAGAGAAGGGAGAAATCACCCCTAAATGGGACATAGTCACACTGCAATTCTGTCTCCTCCATTACTTCACAACTGTCAGGATTTTAGGCATACACAGATACCCAGCATGTTTCTTTCAAGCCTCCAGGGCCAAGATTCAAACCTCTGTCAGTCTTAAGGACTCCATTCTCTTAACCACAGGCTACAGGACCAACCCTAAGGTAAGTTCTAAGATGATAGATGAAGGGTTTGGAAATCACTCTATAATAAATAAACCAATCCAAGATGAAAGAAAAAGAATTGTCATATTAATTCAGAAAAGGCTTATCCTCAGAGTCCTGAGTGTTAAATAAAGAGCCCAGAATTTGCCCTCTGTTCATGTTTTAGTTAGCAATGACAAAGATAATATTTCCTGGATTGGCCAAAAGTAAACCCAAAGAAGGACAACTATATATAACCATTAATTTTGTGAATCTGAAAAAGCTACTGATCTTTACTACAGGCACAAGTGTAGTAATAAAACACAGGCACGTAGGGGATGATCTATAAAGGGTCAGGGTAGAGGATAACTAGATTATGAAAACTAAGGAGGCTTTATAATGTAAATCATCAAAATCAGGAAGGAATTGAATAAAATTTCTGAAGAAATTTGACTTGAGTTATTGAACAGAAAAGAAAGAATGGGGTGACAATTAACACAATAAAAGTCAAATTGCAAAGCCAGAGGATGATGGAGTGGTAGAATAAGAATGTCTGGGAACTGGCCCATATGACCGGATTGTAGGCTCTCAGTCCAGCAATGTGGGATCCAGTCACCTTAACATACATGCCACCTGCTGGACCTGGTTTTATTTTTTAATATAATTTTTACTATTTTGTTGTTAAGAGGAGACCTTTACATTTATTTTGTGTGTGACTGTTTTTGAGACACAGAGATCTTATTTACCCATAATAAAGTAAGTTAAGAGTCTAATATCACCTATATAGAACATAAGAGAAATTCAATGATTGATAAATTGATAAATGTATGGAACTTGGCATTGAACATTTGAAGGACACATTTATTTATGTTTTCTATTCAAGTTTTCAACTGGTGTTGGTGGAATGCCAAACACCAGGGAGAGAACTTCAGAGTCCATGGCCCTGCAGCTGTGACTCTCCCAGCTAAGGAGGATGACAGTGCTCAACAATTTACAGGGAGGCACATTCAAGAAAGAACTCAGAACAGGTGCACTAAGAAGAAGATGCTTAGGGCTTTTCAATAATTGAGGAAACTGTTGAGCAAGTGGTGGACTTAGGAATTTCTCTTCCTTTGATGGACTGAAGAATTTCTCTCCTTTCAGCTTAACTAACATATATCAGACAAGACTGATTATGAGACTTCATTAAGTAACTGATATGAAAGCTCCTAGAATACTTAAAAATGTAGTATTAATGGAAGAATAATAAGGACCACAATAAAATGTTGATGATTATGACAATGACGATGGCAATAAGCACATATAGTGTGCTTTATATTTCAAAGAGTATTAACAAAGAGCATTTAATTTATAAAGATATGTTATCGTAGAGTTAAAAACAGTACATAAAGTACAGTTAGAAATAGCTAGGTTGGTTGATTATAATATGATAATATCTTTGACTGAACCAGTATACAGTGTATTTATAATGGGAATATTCATTTGGTATATTATAATGATAAACAGTGATTGAATGTAAGAAAAGAACAGAACAGAACAGAAGAGAAAAGAAAAGAAAAGAAAAAGAAACAACTAAGTAAAAGAAATGAATCCTTATAATCTTGTTTTGAGAACACGTTACTTAATGTATGCAATTTTAAGAAGAGTTGATAATACACAGTAAAGACTGAGTACTTGGGGGAAAAATTGTTGAAAAGACTATACAGTGTAAATAAATGTCTTCCTAATGGCAGGTCTCCTGTCAGTATCTTTCTACCTATCCACATTGAAGAGGTCACCCCTCCTTGGAGCTTGCAGCTGCCTTCTGAGCATGCTCCCTCCCCAGGCAAACATCAGCATCTCCTTCTTCCAACCACCCGCCTTCTTCCTTATTGGCATCCCAGGACTTGAGGCTGCTCATGGCTGGATCTCCATCCCCTTCTCCTCCATGTACACTGTGGCCCTCACTGGAAACTGCCTGATCCTCCTGGCTATCAGGAGGACCCCCAGCCTGCACCAGCCCATGTACTACTTCCTGTCCATGTTGGCCCTCACTGATGTGGGCCTCACCTTGTCCACACTGCCCACTACCCTGGGTGTGCTCTGGTTTGACCATCGGCTCATTGGGTTCAATGCCTGCCTAGTCCAGATGTTCTTTGTACACTCCTTCTCTGTAGTGGAGTCCTCAGTTCTACTAGCCATGTCATTTGATCGCTTTCTGGCCATCTCCAATCCACTGCGCTACTCAGCCATCCTGACAAATAATGTCATCATCAAGATTGGATTCACCATTGTGGCTCGAGCTACCTTTTGTCTCTTTCCTGTGCCATTTTTGATTAAGCGTCTGAACTTCTGCCCTGATAACTACTTCCTGTCCCACTCCTTCTGTTTTCACCCTGATGTGATGAGGCGGGCCTGTGCTGACATCACCATCAACATACGCTATGGTCTCTATGTGGTTGTGTCTACTGGGGGCATAGACTCCTTGTTCATCATCCTGTCCTATACCCTCATTCTGCAAACTGTCCTGGGCCTGGCTTCTCCCAGGGAGCGCATTAGGGCTCTCAACACCTGTGTCTCCCACATCCTGGCTGTGTTTGTCTTCTTTATTCCAGGTATCACCATGTCCATGATCCACCGTTTTGGAAAGCACCTACCCTCCATTGTGCACTCTCTGGTTGCCTATGTGTACCTGATGGTACCTCCTGTGCTAAACCCCATCATCTATAGTGTCAAATCCAAGCCCATCAGGGAAGCTATGCTCAAAGTTTTGAAGAAGAAAGGCTAAAAGTGTTGAAAATGTGAAATTATATGAGGCTAATTACCTTAAAAAATATAGTTATAACCTGGCAAGGACAGAAAATCCTGAAATTCCCTAACTTTTGCCAAGATACAGGAAAACTATTATGGTTATTCATGTCTCAAGTTTATACTTTGTGTTTACTTTATAAAGAACCAGGTGTGATTAAAGTGAGGATGATTAAAGACCAAGAAATTTATTCAACATGTACCTTTATGTCCAGAAGCTCACAATTTTCTACCAAGAAAAGTCATGTTTAGACACAACCAGTCTGTAGACTTATAAGTGCCACAATAAAGTTCTGTGTAAGAGATTGCTAAAAAAAATTGCAAAAATTAGTAGCAGTAGAAGTTGCCTGGGAAGGTTGGGCAAGCTTCCATGAAGAAAAGAATTTCTATTTTACATTTAAAAATGTAGAGTATTTCTGTGCAAAGTTGGAATTGAGTAAGAAAAATGAAAAATAAAAATATAGCAGTACGAAAAGAATGCTCCATGTTTGGAGGAAGTAAAGGTATTGTAGGAAGTTTTGCATTCCTGTGCTTTATGTCTTTAACATTCGTATCACTCCCTCTTTAAACTCTATGCCAAAACATGATATCTTTACAGGAATGGTTTTGGCATAGAGTTTGAAGAGAGAGTGATAGGAATATTAAACTAGAAACGTAGGTGACCAAGTTGGACAGGACTGCACAGACCATGCTATGTTTAGATGTTAGCTAGTAAATATTAACTAAATATTTTTATTAGAAGAATGTATTGCAGATCAGTCTGTATTGGTCACTTAAGCTAATCAGTTTATATTTTTATGTAGTCGCAGAAAATTTCCAGATACCTTTTCACTGCCTGGAACATTCTCATCCTCCTACCTACTTATGTTTTGTTCCTATTTATCCTTCTTATCAGGTATAAGGAAAATTCATCAAAAAATACTGTGTAATTAATTATCATTTTCATATCCAAAAGTCTTTTTTGTCTTCTGCATGTATACAACAGTCAGCCACTCAATTAGACTCTAAGGCTTGAGGATGCTGACATTTCTCAGTGCCTAGAGGCATTGATGGAATCATAAGTGCTCAATAATTCTTTTGAATAATTATTCTGAAGTATTTTTTCTTTATTTACTTCTATTTAATCACTGTACATCTTTACATTGTACAACCTGGTTTTCCCAGCATGAATACAATGCATATTAGTCAAGTCAAAGACAAACTGTCTATATTATCAACAGATAACTTTATTTTCATCCTGAAGCATTTTATTATAAATTATTTTGAACAAGAGATTTGGCAATGTTTTATTTAATTTAAAATATAATTTGAGGAAGTTTACCTCTAGGGGACCTCTGGACTTTCAGAAGAAAAATATATATAAATAATTGCAAATACTTGTAAAAAGATTTTTCAGCTGAACTTGGATAGCTGACTCAGAGTCATAAGTGATTTGCTATTACTCATTGACTCACTAAGGCATATCACTTATGAAATTTCTCCTGCTTTTTTACCCTAAGATGTCTCCTGGAACCTTTTGCTTGAAGTAATTAATGCATTTCACACCTCAGTGATGTACTCTGTCTTTGTAAAAAGTCCTTGTAGGGAAGAATTTTTGAAAAAAGTTTTAGAGGCAGGGCCAGCAGGTGACATAATGGTTAAGGCACTGAACTCCCACATGGGCTATCGTGGTTCAAGTCCCAGACCTAGTGGCTTGAAATTTATGTTAGGCTCATGTACATGTGTGCCCAAAATCATGAGAGGAAACTGGTGGAGAAAATATTGCTCTGCTGGGAGGTGAAGGGTGATTTCTCTCTTTCTCTCTCTCTCTCTCTCTCTCTCTCTCTCTCTCTCTCTCTCTCTCTCTCTCTCTCTCTCTCTCTCTCTCTCTCTCTCTCTCTCTCTCTCTCTCTCTCTCTGTCTCTCTCTCTCTCTCTGGTAAGCACACACACCCTATAGCAAAAATATTTCTCTTAAAAAATAAAAAGAGAGAGAGAGTTTTAGGGGCTATGATACTAAGATTTGTTAGCACATTATCTTCTTGAATGCACCTTTACAAAGTGAAGTGATAAGAATGTGTGTACTTTTCTTCTCACTGTCCCACTATCACTCCTCCTACCAGTGTGTTTAATACCACAAGAGCTTAGTACACAGTGTCTGCACTGGGTAAGTAGGATCATGTGTTATAGTAGATAAGAACACAAGCTATAGAGTCAGGAAAACGCAGGTTATTCAAATTCTTAAATTCTCTTCTGTTGCAGCTATTTGACTTGGAAGATTTTATTCTCTATGTATTAATAGTTAGGGGTTTTTGACTGTGTTTTTTGTTTTATTTGGTTTGGTTTCCTTTTTCCATCAGCTTATTTTTACTATGATTTCTGATTTATATATAAATGTTTTAGATATTTATGAGATACAGATATACTAGATTGGCAATCTAATATCACCCCCTTTATATTCTGCTATGGTACACAATTCCATGCCCTATTCACCTTCTTTATATACATTATATATCTGTTAATCACTTTTTTCATGAACCCCTTCTGCATTTCACCCCAGTCTCTGGTACCCACCATTGTTCTCTCTCTACTTTGTGCCATTGAGTTTTTCAGTTTCCATCACAGACTGCGGACATTTGGTATATGTTAAGTAGGGACATACAGTGTTGTCTTTCAAGCCTGAATTATTTCACTTAGTATAATACCACCTAAATTCTTCCACTTTCTGTTGAATGGAAGGTTCTCATTGTTCTTCATGACCGAGTAGTAATCCATTGTGTACATATGCCACTTTTTCCTAATTTAGTCATTGGTTTTGGAGCAATTTAGAATTATTCTATTTAAGGGAACAGGAATGGTTCTTCTCAAGAAGTGATCATTCAAGTGAAATCTGATGTTGAAAAGAAATTAACTGAGAAAGACTAAGTGTTTATAAGGAAGAGTAGTAGGTGAAGAAAACCATGCTTCTGAAGTGCTTATAGAAGCAGAAATATAAAGGAATGAAATGAAAGGTAGAATACCTGGAAATCAAAGTTAATGACCTTCTCAAAGATCTTTTAATATTGTGTGGTAGAGAACAGACTTTAAGGCATGAAAATTTATAAGCTAGAAGACTAATAAAATAACTAAGGTATAATTTGTTGGAAACTTAAACTAAAGGAGTAGGGGTACAAATAAAGAGAAACAGATAAACTCAAAATTATACAGGAAGTAGAAATTAGGTAACTTGACTTTGGATTGAATATGAAGGCTAATAGAAAACAAAAAGCCAATGATGTCTCCTGGGTTTGGATGTATCAGAATAAATGGTAATGTAATTAACTAAAATATACAACATAAATACAGAAATTTAGCTGAGTAGATACTAGCACAAATGTGATTTTTGGACTCTTTCAGCTCGAACTCCCTTAAAAATATATAAATGGCTGTGTTACACAGGCCATTAGGTATACAGGCCTGAAACTCTAGACTAGTTCAAGTTGGTTTAGTCCAAAGAAAATATTTAAGTCACAGATGATACAGATGGCAAGAGAATCCAGCAGTCCAAATAAGAATACATAGCAATTATTGGTCATAGTCTAGGCCCTCTTATACAATATTATGTTGCCAGATAAACTCAAAAGAATGTATTTACAAAAGAAACTTAATTTTTTTTCCCAAAGAGACAAGAGAAAAACAAGAGTGTGATGGCATGGAAGGAAAAGGAAAAATGTTAAAATGTATCAAGAAAGAGAGAGTGGTCATGTTACATGTTTTTCAGTCAGGTAAGAGAAAATCTAAAAATCTCAGGCTTATAAATGTTTGTAATGATACAAACACCTCTTTTAGTAGTTTGGCCAAGGCCAAAAGTATATTGAAGTGATAGAAGAGCTGTCTGAAACATGGATAAATGGGTATGAGACATAGATAAGTTTTCTAAGAAATTTGACTATGAAAAATAAGAGATTTTAAAAAAGAATGTGGGGACTAGCAGATAGCATAATGGTTACATTGCTGGAGATTCCCAGGTAATCAACCACAGTTCAAGTCCCGGGCCTTGTAGCTTTAACTCATTCCAGCTGCGTGTGTGTGCATGCCCTAAATACCAAGAGGAGAATGAAGGAGAAAGGATTGTAGCATGACCATCCCCCTGGGGAGTGATTTTTCACTTCTCATCTCTTTCTGTCTCTCTCTGTCTCTCCAGCAAAAACATGCACCCTATAGAAAAACCCAAAAAAAAAATGCCCCCTAAAGAAAAAAAAAAATCTCTCTCTAAAAAAAAAAAAAAAAGAATATAGTTTCTGACAGCATGTTTATACTTCCCATTGTTATCATTGTTTTGCATATGGAAGAAACTGAACGTGTTAAATATGAGGAATAATTCATGTAATAGTGTGTAGTGTGAAGTTGATATCCAAGAGTGAAAATAAATTATATTGTAAATTTTCAGAGAAACTAGGATAAGTAATCCAAAGTAAATTAATAAAAACTTAAAGGAGAGCTAGCTTGATATATATTGGTTAATAAAGAAATTGTATTAATTATACTAGTAAAAAAAAATTTTCCTCTGAAAAATTCACATTTCCCAATGTATGTTATCTAAAGAGCAGTCATACATGAGTCTCCCACTTTTCAGGTGTTAAGGTTCTTTTTGTTTTTTTCTTTTTTATTCATTTTTATTCCATTTATTCAACAACTATTTCAATAGTGTTGTATTTGCAAACCTAGAATACTTTAAGAACAACAAAATATTTTCAGAGAACATATGGCACTTTATTTTTCCCTTATTCAACTATCTAGTATAAATACGGGGTTACAAGTGGGAGGGGTTCAGCTATACTCAGTGTTTTAGGATCTCAGGTTATTGGTGATTTCATTTACATTTAATGCCAACATGGAAGTTTACACATGGGAGGGTTTTATGACTCAGGCATAAAAGTAGCACTTGTTACTTACAACGCATTGGATAATGGCTAGAATTTAATCATATTCAATTCAAAAAAATGGATAAAATGGATTAATT